GCGACCCACCCCGCGACCCACCCGCGACCCACCCGCGACCCACCCGCGACCCACCCCGCGACCCACCCGCGACCAACCCGCGATCCAAACCACGTTGAAGGTACAAACCACCATTGTCGGCGCCTGCGGCGGTTTTTTTTTGCATTCCGTCCAGGCGGAGAGCCCGCGACCCACCCCGTGACCAACTCTCGGCCAACCCGGGGTCCAAACCACGTTCAGGGTACAAACTACATTTTTCGGCGCCTGCGGTGGGCATCTTTTGCATTCGTTTCAGGTGGAGAGCCCGCGGCCCATCCGCGACCACGTTCAGGGTACAAACTACATTTTTCGGCGCCTGCGGCGGGCATCTTTTGCATTCGTTCCCGGTGGAGAACCCGCGGCCCACCCGCGACCCAAACCACATTCAGTGAACAAACCAATTTTTGTTGGCGCCTGCGGCGGGCTGCTTTTGCATTCCTTCCAGGTGGAGGTGGAGAGCCCGCGACCCACCCGTGACCTAAACCACGCTCACTGAACAAACCAATGCCGCACAAGCGCGGCGGCGGATTTTCGCATGCCGTCTGAGCCCGCAAGGACCTCTTCAAGCCCCGCGCATCCACACCAGCCCGTCCAGCAACTTTGCCCTGGCGAGTTGCCTTGATCAGAGAAGGCGGGGAGCATAAAGTGGAAAAAAGGACTGCGTTGCAGTTATCTTGGGAAAGGAGGGGGAGGCAGGGGATGGAGGAGGACGAGGAGGGGGAGGAGGCGGAGGATGATGATGATGGACGACAATGGGAGGACGATGATGGAGGCCGATGAGGGGGAGGACGACGATGGGAGAACGATGATGAAAGGACGAGGGGGGGAGAGGGAGGACGAGGAAGAACAGGAGGAGGAGGAGGGAGGAGGAGGAGGAGGAGGAGGACGATGACGATGAGGACGAGGACGAGGAGGAGGAGGAGGAGGAGGAGGAGGAGGAGGAGGAGGAGAAGATCGCCATCGACAGGGAAGGTGGGGGGCACGAGGTCCGCCGGCTCGACGACGCCCGCGTCGCCCGCGCCCGCCCCCTCACTCTTATCCGCAATTGCGGGGTGCTACGTATATAAAAAATCAGAACGGAAATTTGTCAAAATGTTCTGCCTCTGGGGGCCCTCGCCGGGCCCCGGGACTGTCAAAGAATGGCTCAGGATGAGAAACTTGTGCTGGGGAGTGGGTCGAGACTTCCGGGGACCGCGTGCTGGAAAAATCACGGCATCGGACCTTCGGAGTGGGGAGGCGGAGGTAGGAGTTCAGAACACTCCGAAGACTTGGGAGCGGACGCTCTTACGCTGGGACGGACGAGGAGCCGGGCTGAAGCAGTGATGCGGGTGCTGTCACGCTGGATGGCGGAGCACGGGCATGCAGGCGGGACAAGGAATGACATGCCTCCTCCTCCGTCAGGATGGGCCCCCGTCGCTGTGGAGCCTCGATGAGGGGCAACGATAGGGGGAGATAGGCTTTAGGGGGGATGCATCGACCTGGGAATAGGAAGGCAGGAGGCAAAATACCCGATCCCACCGACAGAGCGTCCGCCGCCCCCCGACCGAGCCCCAGAGGCCCGGCCCTCGCATGGCCCCTCGGAGGCGCTCCCGGATCGGGGTCGAGGCCCCTCCGCGGGGCCACCCCGGGGGAGAGGCCTTCGAGCGGGGGAGAGGTCCTGCAGGGAAGGATGCATGCAGGGAAAGAGAGAAGGGGGGGGGCGGGAGGGAGCACGGGGAAGCGGAAGAGGAGGGCGCAAGTCCATCGGGGAGCGCGGTCGTACACCCCTCTCGAGCCATAAGAAGCCATGGTGCAGCAACGCCGAGAATAGTGTTGACGTCGACGATTGAGCATACACGCCTGGCCGCGGGATCCACCCTGCCAGGATTGCCACAATATCTGCGCCATGCGTAATGAGATGACGGTGACGGTGCCAGCAAAGTGTCCACGCAGCCGGACAAAAAAAACGCGGTCGGAGGGAGCGGGGCTGGCACGCACTCCCCAGTCGCTACACTCCAGAGATTTTGGAACGGACGCTCTTACGCGGGCTCGCGCGGCATCTTCCGCCAGCCATAGCAGAGGAAGGGAGGGAGGGAGCGCCGGCCACTCCCGCCCCTGACACATCCAATAACTCAGCAATCGCCCCTGTATAACGGGACAGATGAACCCAACGACCTGACAATTCGTCAACGGTGAACGATGCAAGAAGCCTGCAGCTCTGCACTCGGCCATAGAATCGATCGCCGCACGGCTGTACGACCACAGCCAGCATTCATACTGCTTTGTAGCGCGTCAGAACAAGCTCGCCAGGCACTCTCACAAAGCATGTTGGCCACATGCTTCTGAGATGGACCAGCTCAGGGCGGTGTCGCTCGAAAACGCACGCCTGCCTGCCAAAAGGCGCACGGGGCTTCAAAAGACGCCAACCAGCATCCGAAACACATCGCTTCAAAAACTCTGCTTCGCTGACGTCAGCCAGTCAATGTTGAAACTGCGCTATATTTGCCGGAGAGGGAGAGAGAGAGAGAGAGGGCGAGAGACGGATAGGTCGAGATAGAAAGAATATCAAGAGGAAAGCGGCCTCATGAAGGCCGCAGGACTTGTTGGCCCCGCGCGGCTGGCTGCCCTGAACCCCATACCCGTACATGCCTCCCAGTTCCACAGCCATCCCGCCACCCGGCAGCAGACGCGAGGGTGGCTCGTGCGCCCTCCATCAGTCTAGGAGGAAGAAGTACGCTCGCCAACGCTCAAGAGCGGGCAGGGCGGATCCTGGTCCGCGAACTGCCAATTCGGCACTGAGCGAGGTGTGTTCTCTGGCCTCGGGCCGCCCCGTCTTCCGATGACCGACCGTGTGTCCGCGCGGGCCCCGAATCGGGAGCCCCTGCGCTCTGTTCGTGAGGCCCCGCGTACTGCAACCTGTACATCTATGTGTACACACGTGTATATACATGCATACGTACATGCACGCGCACGTGGGACTGTGGTGCAGGCTAAGTTCTGCAACTCATGTGTTGCGGGATCGGTGGAGCGAATGTGGTGCAGCCCAAACGATGTAGCTGCCTGGTGCAATCTGACCGACGCAGCCTAGAAGGTGCGTCTGACTTTCGTCAACGCATGAATTGTCAACCCCGCTGGCCGCGCAATGACACCGCCCTCCCACCTGCAACTTGTTTAGCCAAACCCATGCGGCAACGGTTGCTGCTGCCGATTGGCACTTGCAAGCGCATTCGTGCGCCCGCGCTGGCGCGCGAACGTTTGCGCGCAAGGCGACCAACTGGCTTAGCACAATTGATGCGACCACGATGGCGCTTACCGATGGCGCCGCTGCGCGCGCGTGCCGAAATCCGTCCTAATCATGAGTCCCCGACGCATTTCAAGATAGAGCCCATCAACAGCACATGCTACAACACGTGATTTCCCACAGCAACTACCAAGTTTCTTGAATTTCTGCGTACCCGCACTTCCTCACCACCGCCCTCACCAATGCCATCGCGTCGCTGCCATTATCGCCATCGTCAATCGCCGCCGTTGCCGCTAGTATCACCCAGTCGCCTTCATCATCGGCTCATGGACAACAGCACTGCGATCGTCGCCACCAGCATCGTCGCAAGCATCGGCCTTTACCGTCGGCATCGTCGACATCGCCATCAGCATCGCTACAATCATGGAATCACCAGCTGTCGACATCATCATGATATCGCGCCCTCCTCAATCACCGACCCAAACTGAAGCGCCTCTGCGCCAGCGCGGCCTGGGGCGCTGATGCGCGCTGAAGGGTTCCCATCGGCAAGAGCCAACACATCTGCCAGCAGCCAGCCAGCCAACCGTCAGCCGCAATCGTGGCCGCATTGGCTTTGCCAAACCAGTTGCAAGTGTGAGATGACGTTATTGCTCGAGCGTTGGGGTTGGCAACTCAACGCTCTTCATACTCGCGTGCACCACGTAGCTTGCACCGCATAGCTTGGAACGCAGTGTTCGCACCACGTAGCTCATAGCACATAGCTAAAACAGCAGCTCTTACATCACACGTATCGCAAGGCCCAGCTGCCACCTCATAGCTCACACCACATAGCTTACACAGCGTAGCTCACACACTGTAGACCACAACTCATAGCTTACACACCATATCTTACATCACACAGCTTTCACAATATAGCTTACGATCATACCCCGAAGCTTACACACACATGCGCCACAACGCAGGCACGCCGCAAAGCGTGCACCACATGGCTCACACCGCAAAACTTACACACCACAGCGTGCTCCGCAGACTTCACACAATGAAGGTCCCACCTCCACAGTGCAATACATCACTTCGTGGAGTCCACGATTGCTATGTTTTGTCTGTGCGCAGTCAAGATTTCCATGCTCAATGTGCTTTGGGTGTAACGGTGGTTAACCAGGAGGGGGTGCGCAGCAGAAGTAACGCTTGAGCGGGGGGCGAGCATGCGAAAGCTGCAACACACACACACACACACATGTGAGCAACACGACATGCCAGTGGGCACCAACATAGAGGGAGTTCCACCCCCCTACAACGGAGGCCAGTCCACAAGAAACCTTCCACAAGAAACCCAATCCTGAGACCCTAAGACGTCCATTGATTTGCGGTGGGTACGTCACGCTATCCACAGCGAAACCCTCGAAACCCAAGACACCCTGGAGGCAAGCAAGGTGCTTCTTGGCATGGGCCTCCACTTAAAGGCGGACGGGTTAGTGGAGACGACGGACGGCAGAGGGCAGAAGCATGGAAGGGCCAGTGGAGAAGACGGATGGATTAGTGGAGCAAGCGGAGGCGCGAATGAGAACTCGAAAAGGCAGTACACGCAATCTAGGCGTTTGCTTCGAGCGATCCCCACGGACACCTTAAGCGTTTGGTCCCGGCGGAGCGCGGTCGCCTTATTGGCCGCAACTGCTGTTTCTGGATTCGAGATGCATGAAGGGACCGCACCGAACCGAGAACCGAGAACCGTGACCGAACCGGACCGAGGCGGTCCAAAACCAGGAACGTAGAAAACCGAACCTGACCGAACCGAATTCATTCAGAACCGAACTGGCGAGAACCGAACCGAACCAGAACCGGAACCGAACCGGAACCAGGCGGCCCCTGAACCGAACCGACGGGAACCGAACCGAACCCTTTTCCCCCCCAGTCTGGACCCCAGGACCCCGATGACCCCCAGGACTCCTGGACCCCGATGACCCCAGAACCTTCCGAAGATTCCCACGACCCCGATGACCCCCAGGACCCCAGGATCCCCCTAGACCCCCGGGACCCCAGGACCCCAGGACCCAAGGACCCAAGGACCCCCAGGACCGCAGGACCCCAGGACCCAGGACCCCCTCTCGGGGCTGCGACCCCCCTGGCGGGTGCGACCCCCCCCGCGGGTGCGACCCCCCTCGGGGGTGCGATCCCCCTCGCGGGTGCGACCCCCTTCGGGGCTGCGACCCCCCTCGCGGGTGCGACCCCCCTCGGGGCTGCGACCCCCCTCGCGGGTGCGACCCCCCTCGGGGCTGCGACCCCCCTCGGGGCTGCGACCCCCCTCGGGGCTGCGACCCCCCTCGGGGCACGTCGCTGGAGGGCCTCGCGCCTCCACGCCTCCACGTTCCTCCTCCTCCTCCTTCTCCTCGTCGTCGTCCTCCTCCTCCCTCCTCCGCCTCGTTCTCCTCCTCCTCCTCGTCCTCCTCCTCCTCCTCCTCCTCCTCCTCCTCCTCCTCCTCCTCTTCCTCCTCCTCCTCCTCCTCCTCCTACTCCTCCTCCTCCCCCATCCCCCCTCCCTTTGGTTCAAACTGGGTCGTCGCTTACGCAGACGGGGCGCCCAACGTTGCACCTGACCAGTCGGGCCAAACCGAACCGGAGCGGCCACTCGAACCGAACCGAAACGGTCGGACCCAACCGCGCGAAAACCGGAACCGAACCGAACCGGCGGCAGGCCCAAGCCGAACCGGCCGAAACCGGACCGATGCCAAACCGAACCGGCCAAGCAAAACCGACCCGGCTGCAAAACCGGACCGAACCGAACCGAGCCGATCCCTTCATGAGATGGGTTCAACCGTGTTTCGTGTAGTCACGTCCTTTCATGCTCTGCCCTATTATGTCCTGTTCTGTTCTCGACGGCCCAGCGTGACGTCATGGCGCCTGTGACGTTAGAGGCGTCGGCTGTTATGATGCTCCTCTTCACTCGTGTGTGCCCCTCCTGATTAAATATGTTATGGCATGCTCGTCTCTGTCACCAGCTGCATTGAGATATTATGGTGTGATTTGCTCTGTGGCAAAATGTTATGACATGATACGCTATGTCAAACTGTGTTCTGGTATGTCCTGTTCCGTGATGCTGCTGGCAACTCGTTCAGTATAGTATAGTATGATATATTGCGCTAGTATGTTTCGCTACGACACGCTGTCGTGGTATAACATGTTATGTGATGTTGCAATGTTAAGATGTTCTATATTCTGGCATGGCGTGTTGTGCTATGATCGGCTCTGGTATGTTAGGTTGTGTTATGTCGTATTATGTTACGTATGACATGGTCTGCCCTGGTATGGTCTGTGATGGTATGTTATGCTCTATCTGGTCGTGGCATTGCTATGTTCTTCTCTGTCATGGTCTGTCATGCTCGTGGTATGTCCTGTCATGGTATGGTGTGTCATGTTGTCGTCTGTTGTGCCCGTCGTCGCTGTGCAAGGAGGTGTTATGAGATGATACGTGATGCTGGGTCATGATATGTTATGTTATGTCAAGGTGTATTATGTGATGCTCGGCTCTGTTCTGCTGTGCTGCAGTATGCCGTCTTATGTTCTGTCATGGTGTGCCCAGAGTTGGTGAGTGATGTTATGTTATCATCTAATGTGGCATGCTACTGGTACTTTCTTCTCTGTCACGGTCTGTAATGCTCGTGTTATGTTGTGTTATGGTGTGTTCTGTCGTGCTCGTCGTCCCTATGCAAGGATGTCGTGGTATGATATGTTCTGCAATGCTGTGTCATGATATGACCTGTTATGTCAAGAGTGTGTTATGTGATGATCGGCTCTGTTATGCTATGTTGTGTTACGCCGTCTACTGTTATGTCACGTTCTGCCCTGGTATGGTATGTAATGTTATGTTATGCTCTACTTTGTCATGCTATTGCTATGTTATGTTCTGCCATGGTCTGTCACGCTCGTGTTCCGTTCTGTCATGTTATGTTGTCATGTTGTATTCTGTCGTGCTCTTCGAGGGCGTGAGGCGGGATACCTGGGATTCTCGGGGATCATCTGGACAACTTGGGAGCTGGCGGACGCGGTGTGCAGGGTGGGGTTGGGATGGGCGCGAGGCGCGATACCTGGGATTCTCGGGGATCATCGGGACAACTTGGGGTCTTGCGGCCGCGGTATGCAGGGTGGGGTTGGACAAGGGGCCTGTTCTTGAAACCTAGCAACCCCAACCTGTGGAGTGGGAGCGGAAATCATGAAAGCAAGATGTCTGGAACATCTGGACTCCGTCTCTTCCCGAATACTGTGAATCCTCTCAGTGCGTACTGTAGATCATGCTACTAAAAAACAAGCAGCTTGACCCCACTGTCTGTTGCCGCGGGGAGTATGGAAATCACCCACGCTGGCGACGATACTATGAAATCCTACAGCGCAAGATCGCAAATGCCCCTCAGCGTGCCCGCTGAGGGCGACCGCCCACAGCGGAGTGGATGCGGGTGTGGAAGATGAGCCTCTTGCTGGTGAGCGCAAAGCTGGGCCCCTCTTGCGCAGAGCGCATCCGTGCACCACTACCAGGCCTGGCTAGGGCCATCTTGGGCGCCAGGATGCTGTACGTATACAGGAAGTGTGGCCAGAAACTGTTGCTTAGCGTGTCGCGGCGGCGGCCCCGGCGACACACTATGCCCTGCACGAGATTAGCGTGTCGCTCAGCTCCGCGGGGCGGGGGGCCAGGAAAGGCTCGGGACGTTGACGCCTGGGGATCGGGCCATAGATAGCATGTCGCGCCGAAGCGTGGTGGGCCAGAACCGGAGGCGCAACATGCGCAACATGCTATTCAAAAATTCCCTTTCTCACATACGTAAGAAGTATTGCCATCAATAAATATGTGTATATATAATATGTATATCGATGGGCGCAGTGTTCGGTCGACCTTGGACAGGCAAGATGCCAACAGAAATCCAACGGGTGCCCAAGGAGGCCAGGGGAGAAGATAATTCCGTGGGGCGCTTGCTGGCAGGCCAATTTCTTACTTGGTGTGCCTACTGAAAACCCTCCTGGCCTCGGCCAGGAGGGCGGGCCCAGGGTGGCCCTGGCCAGACACAGAAGTGTTACGTGGATGCTCTTTGCAGACCTTGGCCAGCTTCGACTCTGCTTGGACGTCGCCACTCTCGTGCTCGTCGAGCCCAGCGTCGTCTCCATCAGGCTCGGATCGGTCGCAGTCGGGCTCCGACGGCACGTAGGTGGTCGCCGTCGTGCTGGAGCGCATCCTGCTTCCCGGGATGAGCGGGGGCTTCTTCGAGAACCTGGCGCCGAGGGCCTTGGAATCGGCGGGCGCGGCCGTCTCCCCCGCCAGCTCCTCCGTGGAGCGTGCCCCGACGGCAGTCATATCGCCGGAGGCGGCCGGGGTGGTGGGGGTGGGGTACGGCTGTGCCGTGCTGGTCCTGCATGAGCCTGAGGAGGGCGAGGGGCAGAAGGAGCAGCAGGAAGGGGAAGTCGAGGGAGGAGGCGGAGCGGGAGGGGGGGGGGGGGCCTCCTCCCCCTCCTCCCGCTGCGCCCTCCCATCTCCTGGGCTCCGCGAGGCCCAGCCCGAGAGACCTCCGTATCTGGACCCCCTCCTGGGAACTGGGTCTTCAGCCTGCGCCGGTTTTGGACGGCCGCGAGGCCCGCCGAGGACCTCTGGAGGCCGAACTGGCGAAAAAAAAGCGTCTGCTCTTGCCAAAAACAACGCTGAATCTCTGGACCGACTCGCCGCACGGCGTGGCCACCGCACCGCCGCGCGAAGGCCCCGAGCGGAGCCCAAAGCGACAGCCGAGGCGAGCCGCTGCGTCAGGTTCGTGTCGTGCCGACTTCGGCGTTGGCTTGTGACACCGCGGGGGTCTTTCGACCTTGAACGACCGGCCGTTTCCGAACCGTCCAAAACCGTTCCGCATCGAACGATCCTGGGTCGCCCGCGGCGTTCAACGTTGAGCGCCGTTGGCCGGGTCGCCGCCAGTCGACACGACACGGACCTGCCGTGCGCCCCGCCCCCCCCCCTCCAGAAGCGCCCTGGGAGGGCCCCGAGCCGCTCCCCCCGCCGCCCGCCAGCCCGGCGACCTGCAGTGGGCTTCTGGCCGTGTGGGCCGGTGGCTCCCCTGACCGCCTCTCCACACCCCATCGGTTCGTGGCAAATCGCTAGTTGCTGGAGGGACAAACAGCAGCACAAAAATCAGACGGAGGGGGCCCAGCGGTCATTCACTGTCCCTGGGCGCGTGGCCGCAGTGGGGCTCCGCGCTGCGGAATGTTGTCGCGTTGATGTTGTCGTCATCGCCCTCGCCCGCGCCCCACCCCCGCGCGACAACCGCCCCGCGCCCCGCCAGCGACCCACCCGCAGAGCGCTCCAGGGGCGGCGCCGGAGGCGCCGCCAAACAGGCCAGGCGCCGATCCGCGAAATCCGCGCGAAGCTGACATGCCCACGCATGAGTAGTCAGGCATGTGCAGGCTCGCTCAAATCGATATATGCTCGTACCCCAATAGGTCGCACACAATCAGGCTGTCACTCAGACTCGTTCTGAACCAGACACTCTCGAGGAACATCGTTCGAAAATCCGCTGGCCCCCTTTGCCAGGGGTGAAAGGGCGTGTGAGACACATTTGGCTGTCTACCTCCTGCTTCTCCCTCCCCCAGGGTCTAAAACTCCGTTCTTGGGCGGGGTGGGGCAAGAGCTCATCATCGCACTTTCTGGGTCCTCAGAGCCTCCAAGTCCACCCCCGACGCTTCCAAAATGCTCAAGTCGCCCTCCAATTCGTCCCAGGGGAGCTCCAGCACGCCCAAGAGGCGCCAGATAATAACCCGACGAGCTCGAGACATCAAGAAGGCACAACAGGGGTCCCAGAAGGGGCCGATATCCGCCGATCTGGCGTGTGTGTTTCTGAGAGCGTGGGCTTGAGCTCGCTCAGGCTTCGCTCTGTCAGGGGGGGAGGGGGGCTGACGTCATTCAGGCCCGGGAGGGAGGAGGGGGGAATGGGGCTGACGCCATTCAGGCACGGGGGGGAGGGGAACGGGCTGACGCCATTCAGGCCCGGAGGGAGGAGGGGTGGTGGAGGGGGGCTTCGCTCTGTCGGGGGGGAGGGGGGGGGGCTGACGCCAATCAGGCCTGGGAGGCCTTTTCTAAGAAGGGCCCTCAAGAGCTCCCAAGCATTCCTTTACTTAGCATCGTCAGTGACTGTTGCTCGTCGCGCGCTTGCAGCGACGCTGCCATACCCAGAAAACAGTGCGCCACCGAGGAATGCCATCGCGACCCACACGTTGACATTCATCATGGAAATTGGCCAATGGATGAATATTATGCGGCATACAAACAGAATCCTTGTTGTGCGGGCTTGGCAAATCGATCACTATTGCGCGGTTTTCAAACATAATCTCGTTGGGGGAAATTTGCAAATTTCTTGCTGGTGTGTAGGAGGCACTTGGAATCCCTTTGAACAAACTTTCAAATTGATTCCTTTGGTGTAGGATGCACTTGCAATTCTTTTGTACAGAATTGCGAACTCATTCCAATGTATCGTGCGGCTGTCCAATAGAATCCCCTCGTGGGGTACTACGACCTGGTTCCCACTGTGTGGGAAAAAACTGAAATCCTGTTGCACAGACTCACACATTGATTCCGAGTGTGCGGCCTTCAAACGGAACCAATTTGCGCTTGTCTCGGGGGAAGAGAGGAGGCCTGGCCGACGAAAAAAAACAAAAAAGGTAAGCAAGACAAAAAATACAATCTGGGGGACAAACACGCTGCATGGTTCGCAAGTTTGTTTCTAATTGTAAACCATAATATCAAACACCTAAAAGACAATATGGAGGCAACGAAAACGTATATTTCACAGTATTGGGCATTTGCAAAGTGATTACTTTTGTGCGGCCTTCAAATGAAATCCTTTTGCGCCTGGCTCGGATAGAGAGGGTGGGCCGGGCCAACGGAAAAAAAACAGACAAGCACTACAAACAACAATAACAAGGGAAATCTGGGGAACCAAAAAACGCTGTGTTTTGTATGTGTGTTTTGTATGTAAATGGGTTATTAATCCCACCTGCCCTTTGGGCTGAGGTGGTATAGCGCGTTTTTTTGTGTTCTCTCTTCCACTGAAACCCCTCCCCCTACCCCTCCCCCTGGGCCTGGACGGGGCGCGCCGCGAGGCCTTCGAGCGTCCAAAACGGCCTCGGCGAGGAAGCCGCAATCATTGATTTAACTATGGTTTTGGCCCCATTTTGGCCATCCTGGGGGGGGATCCTCAATTAGTAATTGAGGAACCTCCTCTTTTTGAGACATGGGGCCCAAGATGGCCCTAAGAGGCCTCCCAGCCTCCCCCAAAGACCCTCCTTCCCGCCCTTTTTGGCCCAAGATGGCTCCAAGAGGGCCCTAGATAGCCCAAGATGGCCTTCAAAATGGCCTACGATAGCCAAGCATGGCTCAAGATAGCCTCCGACAGACCTCCAAGAGGCTTCAAGGCAGCCTCACGATGGCCCAAGATAGCCGAGCATGGCTCAAGATAGCCTCCGACCGTCTCTAGCCGAGCATGGCTCAAGATAGCCTCCAAGAGACCCCAAGAAAACTGGCAATCAATTATGGTTGGGCTGGTGGGGATACTTTTCGGTCGCGGCCGCGAGCGAAGAGGCAGGCGGCGGGCAGGGTGTACGGGCCAACGGGCAAGCCTAATTAGCTACAAGAGGCGCACTAGCCGGCCGGCCCACTCACAAAGCAGCCGCGAGGCAGTGGGGGGACTGACGGCGGGGGGCATCCTGGGAAGCTCGAGCACACGCACTGGACAAAATGTCGAGGAATTCGATGCCTGCCACGAGGCACGGCCCACACAGTGACAAGACGTGTACCTGAGCAGCCGGGTCCGTCGTTCTGAGTGGGGGCAGGCGCGAGGCCCGAGGAACGAGTCGCCAGTGGGGCGCCAGGTTCTAAACGCCCTAGACGACGTGTGCCAGCTAGGGGGGCTGAGCTGTCGCGGAACGTGGTGCAACCCAACCTGCCGATAGCTGGTACGTGAGCCTGGGGTGCTGCAGCTGCTGCGAGGGGCTGAACCACTCCGTGGCGATTTCAACACCCGCCAGTCCACCCAACAGTGCAGGGGGGAAGCCGAACGACTGCGAGCGAAGCAGCCGTAGCGGCACGGCGCCAAGCCCTGGGTGAGGGGAGAAGGCCAGCCGGCGTGGTGAGCATCGCCAGCGAGGTAGAGAAATGTAGGGGGTGCTGCACTGGTGGTAGTGCTGCCGTCTGAAGTACACCAAACTGATACAAGGACAAGCATATCCTCAAGTATACAGAGCTGGCTGTACCTCCCGGGGCACGTGTGGCGCATGTTCAAACAAGTGTGTGTAACGTTGCCATTGGGTGAGGCGACCTGGGGGAAGCTGCGCTAAAGCAGGCGCGAAAGCCGACGGTCACCATGGCCCGGTCCTGCCCGCAGCTACCGCATTTCCTCGCAAGACTCGGGGTCTTCCACCGACACGAACCACGTGGGCCTCCAGGGTCGCAGCTAACCGCCGCTGAAGGTGGCGAGCCTTGCCACGGACAGCGAGGGGGGGCAACACCACCGGCGTCTGTCGGTACGTCTGGCGAGCCCCGGGGCCAAGGGCGGGGGACACCCGCCTGGCCCGAGAGGGGAGAGGCGAATGGAAGCAACGCCCCGCCCCTCGACCGGGCCCCGGACCCGTGGGTCCTCCAGGGTCGCAGTTAACCGCCGCTCATGAGCAACTAGTATGGACTGATGGGTCCTTCGAACGGTGTTGATGCCGTGGGATGGTGGGGTCCAAAGTGGACCTCATGCCATGCTGAATGCTGGTCTGCCAACGCGGAGACTGGCGCCTCTACGGGGATGATGGGTGTTGGTCCTCCAGGGTCGCAGCTAACCGCCGCAAAAATCTGTAGTTGACAAAACTGCGACCTGGCTAGGTCGAGCTCGCCGCCAGGCAGGCGGGGGGGGATGCTGTGGCCCACCTCCGGCCCCTGGCGCGCGGGCCGGCTGTCGTCGTCGGACAGCAAAGTCTATGAGCCCGGGAGGCCTGCCTGCGCGAGCCAGGCGGGCCCCGCCGTGCCAGAGAGGGTGAGATGTCGGATGCTGGTGGGGAAACCCCTCCGCGTCAGGCCCGAAAAGGAAAATGGTGGTCCACTTATCCAGTGTGGGTTGTCTAGCTAGGCCGCGCCGTGGGTGAGATGTGGGGTTAGCCTTCGCCCCAGCGGAGAGTGGCCCCGGGCATTACGGCCTGAGCCGGGCGCGCCGAGGTGAAACGAGCCTCTTCGGGGCAACGGGTCTGGAGGAGGGGGGAGCGGGTTTCCTTGGGCAGGTCGTCACCGAGGGCGTTGAGGTAGGCCGTGTCGGGAACACGTCAGCCTTGGGTGTCGGCGTCACTCTTACCCCACCAGCGGGCGCGCTTGTCCGAGTAGCGGTCGTCCACTCTAGGGGAGTATCGTTTGCCCCTGCCTTTCCAGTCTGCGT